GAGGTGGCTCTGAAGTGCGGAGTGCCTGAAGTGGCAGAGGTGGCTCTGAAGCAGCTAACTTGTGGTGGCTGAAGTGCTGGTGGCTGGCTCTTCACCGGGTTTCATTTGCAAACAATTCTAGTTAAGGTTTTGGGCTCAAGGTGTTGCACTTCAAACTTTTGGGGTGCTGGGGGTCTGTAAGGATACTGGGCTGGTTTAATTGCCTTCAGGTGACTTCTGCCACCTTGGACCAAGATCCTCTTGGACTTCTCTGTATCCAAGCTGGGAACTGAAGCCCCTTCCATTCTTAGATCCAAACAAAACATGAAATTTGGCTGAGGGTGTGGGTTCAAATCCATGGATGTGAATCTGCATCTCCATAAGGACATGCTGCTTCTGGCAGTGGTGGCAGAGATGAGTAGCTGCCCTGTTCTGGTATCTGCAGGTTAGTTGCATGTGCACCTGCAGTGCAGGCAGGGCTAACGTCTGGCCGAGGTGGGCTAGGGCAACGCATGTTAACAAGTCACTATTTTCTTAATGTTTATTATTTGAGTGCAGACAGCATGCTTCGTTTGGTAGTAAACACAAATGTAGTCCCTGCCCCAAACAACTTACGGTATAGAAGAGGGGTACGCGATAAAGAAACGGGGAGATACAGAGGTTTGTGACACTATTGTTTGCAGACTTCTGGTTCGCTGCTTTTTTGCGGAGGGAAAAGATGGGCTGGGGAGGGAATTTTGTGGGGGTTTTTCATGTAGTTTTTCCCTCAGGAAAGGTACTAGGTCAACGTTTGAGGTGGCAAGATGATGTATCTATGTACTTGGAAGATACATGTACCTGTGTTTGAATGTGAGGAGTGGGAAAATGGTGCCTGGGGCCAGGGAGCACAATTCACGCACGCGAGAAAGCAAACTGAAAGAGGCTGTGACGCTTACTTTTCTCATTGACAGTTTGAAGATGAAATAGGAAGCCAAATCCAACCTATAATTTGGAGAAAACTTTTGCAGTGCCCCTGTGGAGTATATAAAGATGGGATTGATGTAGTCCCTTCTATGAGCTGCAAGAATGATCTTGAAGACTGTTTTTCATAAGATGGTGTGGGTTTTGGGGGAAGCTAGACACTATGCAATGTTGATGCAATAACAGACTGGAGAATCACGTTGAAGCATGGACAGATGCCTCAAATCATCAGACAAAAAAAGGGAAAGGCTTTTTTTGTACAGCCTGCAGTGGAGAAATTTGCTGCGTATAAAAATGTAGAGATTGTTACGAACCCGAGTTCTTTGCCTACAGCAAACAATGGTAGGAGAAGAGGAAGATTTAGGATCAGACCAAAAGGCAGAAGCTCTGTTTTCCTCTCTTTCAGTTGAGAGGATCAACTCTCATCATAAGATCTTCACAGTAATGCAGTGGAAGAAAAATTGGGTATTGATCCTAGTAATTCAATATGCTGTTACAGCCCAAGGTATCATGGCACCTACATTTCTTTCATTTTTGACCAGACAATCCCTGTGAAACGATAATCAGAAAAGAATATATTTGGGCATATATCTTACAATCTTACTAGATTCTTTATTTTTTTCTTCTACGAAAAATGGAAAATAGCTGTAGAACCAATCCTACCAAATATTCACTGCTACAATGAGTCAAGTGGTGGTAATGCAACGTAATACTTTTTTTCTTCTCCGTCGTTTTGTCCCCATCAGACAAAGACACCTCACTGAGAAATGGGCTGCTGGTATTTTTTTTCCTGGTCCTCCCACTCCTTATAGCTGCTGCTCTGGCATTTGCAAAAAGAGACAGGCTGAAGCGATGCTGTAGAAGATTAATGTCACGCTGCCATTCGTAAGTACATTCTCCTTTTTACCTTCTCCTCTGCCCTTTTGAAGTAGTCCACAGACATTTGTTTACACGAGCCAATGCCAAAGTATGGAGCCATATTCCAGTCCCAAGATGTCAGGCAAAGGCCCCTGCATCAAATGGTGCATGTAGCTTGCCCTGGGCAGTGACAGAAAAGATAAATTCATCTTAAATTGAGGGAGCAGAGAACTTTCTTTTTACCATTATGTTTGTTGTCGTGCATTGGTGATGGGTTTTATATTTTTGGGTCCCATCTTTGGTATAAAGTGGCAAAATGAAGCTGTCATAGTCCTAAACAGAAAAAGGGTTATGTTGTTTATTAGATTTGTGGCAAATACTATCTTCCTGACATTTGATGTGTGCTAAGATAGTATAAATCCATCTAGTGGGTTCGAAGTGCTTGGATTCATAGCCTGCATAGTCATTCTGTCAAGGTTATATGCTCACGCGGTCCGTATCAATTGGATTTCAGGTCACTTCAGCCACCACCTCCTAGGACAGAAACCGAACCGAGAGACTACCACCACAGAGGCTTTTCGCATGGCATGCCTTATGCTCCAAGAGGTGTACCCATGGTAGGAATGATCCACTTTCCATTACTTTATTTGTCATCTGTTACTCTAAAGATGACTACAGATGAAGACAGTTTATGTAATCTTTGCCCTAATAAAAGCTTCAAAGTTACTTTATTTTTTCATTTCTGCAAATTGGGTTTTCTCTTTGATAAGAGGCAAAGAGAATAATTATTTCCTAAGGTGTGTGTCTGGGAACTCCTCAGTTTCCCACTATTTAAGCTTTTTTACAGGCTGTGCTTGGCTTGGCTTTTTTACCTGCTTTGCTACCCCCTTTCCCTTACACTGGAACCCCCTGCCCCACGCAAGGAGGGGAGCAATCCTTGTCAGCTCTCTAGCCCCACTCCTTTGCAGACCAGTTACCTCTCTGAATGCAGTAACAAGCCAAAGCACACTTGCAGAACAAATCAAACGCTTGTGATCAGCCTGTTTTTTCCAAAATACAGTACTTTTCAGACTGCTGTTGCTGCTTTCTACTGAGTTTCTCAGAAGGAAAGAGCAACTCTGACATTTCCAGGTTTGTTTGCAGGTGGTCTTAATGTCACTTAACTAATGAAACAAATACGTGCAGATTTGTGAACGTTCTCGTTATGTTTTCTTTGTAGGATATGGAACCAAATACTTTTCCTGTTCCATCTTACCCAGTTAACCAGCATCCTCAGCAGGCTTACCACCAGTCTTACTACCCGTCTCCGCAATACCAGGCGCCACAGCCACAGAAGCTGCCGACAAGGTTGGTTGAGTTATTGCAAAAAACTATTGGCAGTTGCGCTGATGGATATAGATAGTCATTGCTTTCATCTCTGCAAGCATTAGGGTATTTCATCACATATTATATGCAAGCAGGACTGACTTTTTATTGAAAGAAGTTTCTCCTTCATTTCACACTGTGGAACGAAAGTGCTGTTACCCATAGCATTCATTTTACATGCTGTCATGGCTACATTTTGATTAACAGGTTTCAGAATGCTTTTCTGGGACCAGATTAGCCCTGCATACAGGTGAATAAAATGCTTCTCAAAATATGCAGTTTAAAAAGAAATTACTCAAAAATCTGCCATTTTGCTGATTTGTGAACGTTATTGCCAAGTACAGGATCATTTCTCATTAACTTTGAAGAGAAAGTTTTCCTTTATTTTTCATTTTACTTGTTGATTGTATTTCTAAGATGTAATGCCTATGCCATAAAACCTGCGTATCCAGAAAGCGCAAGGTATCAAGAGGGAGTAGTTCAAAATAGTTTGTGTTGGTGGGAAACTTGTGGGGGTCTTTAAACTATTTTGGAAAAAATGGTCTGTTAACAAACTGGGGTTCCCTGAGGATTTCAGGCAATGGAAAGCAGTCTGACCATGGCGTGTTCAAAATGAGTCTTCAGTGTGGAAGCTGAGATTGCGAGAAGCGGTGTAGCTGGCTGGGGGGGAGTCTCCGCAGTGGCCGCGGCGCTCGTGCCAGGCGAGGGGGAGAGGGACGTGCGTACTGCACCTACACGCACGAACCCACCACTCCCCCCCTGGCACCCTTGTAGGCCGCCACCGCCGCAACAGAAATGTGCACCTCAGGGACCTCCTCCATCACAGCGGAAGCTGAGATTGCGAGAAGCGGTGTAGCTGGCTGGGGGGGAGTCTCCGCAGTGGCCGCGGCGCTCGTGCCAGGCGAGGGGGAGAGGGACGTGCGTACTGGATGTACTCGCCTGGACTGACGACTCCTCCTCTGTCCCCCTTGTAGGCCGCCACCGCCGCAACAGAAATGTGCACCTCAGGGACCTCCTCCATCACAGCAAAAATGTTTACCTCAGGGACAGTATTTTCCTTCTCGACCGGCACCTTTGCCTCCCAAATAGCTTTTGGCTTCTTTGGGGCCTTCACGTGAGCTGACCTGTTCACTGAGACAGAGCTGAAATTGCAGTTATCCTTCTTGCATTGAGCGGCCCGTGGTAATCCCGGAAAGCCTTCCTTCTGCAGCCTGGGATAAGGCAAATGAGATATTGAAACGAGGAATGTAAAACTTTAAACTAAATACCTCTACCAAAGCTACAGGAACTGAAAACATCTAATCCGTTCTTAGATCTGTCTGAGTATTGTGGCTTTGTAAACTGCAGCAGGGCTGTCCAGCTGGAAGTGGAGCAGCCTGCAGTTAAATAATCTTTGAAGTACAGCACTTGGGAGTTGCTTTCGGTTTCCCCATTTCTGCGATGAGCCCTAATAATGAAATTGTCTGATTTGTTGTCGTCTTTCTAAATGTACAGTGAAGAATTGAAGTAACCCGTACCGTTTTCAAAACAAGGAAATCTGGCCAATTAATTTAAAATTATTTTGCATGGACTGGAAAATGTTATCCATTTACACATTAATGGCACAAGTGAAATAAGGTATCAGTGTACTTTTTCAGAGGAAGATAAATATATTGTAAACATGTTTATGCATGTATATATGTTTATTGATGTGTAATAATGCACTTAAATTCTTACTTTCATGCTGACTGACACTAAGCTGTGCTATATGAGCACTAAGTTTAATGGTTTTAAATTAGTAATTGTGAGTTGCTAAATGAGAATCCTGTACTAATTTCCACTAATATCATGAACGGGCAATGAAGATAAAGGTACGAAAAGACATGGCCATATTTTGGTTTTAAAAAGTGGGGTGCTTTTAGGTTTTAATTTGGGTCTAAAGGCTGAGCAGCGGTCCCTGCAGAACGCTGAGAAGCAAAAAATGTCTATTTGCCTAGACACCTGAGCTTCCCTGAGCACTTTAAACAGGAACCTGTTGACTAATGCAACCTTTTCACCTAATCCTCAAACCTTTTTAGTGTCAGTCAGGATGCTTACAGGCTAACTTGCATTAGATTGGACTGCCGTCGTTTCTACACCACTGACTAAACCAGATTTTAAGACTCTTTCCAAAAAGGAGTGTGTAGCATTTGGTGTGCTGGCCAAGGAGCGGAGATCTGTTAAGTGTGATACCGTTGTGCCGTGAGTAGAAACTGGATGCTGGTGGTCACAAATAGAAATCTGTTGCACAAACTTGCTAAAAGTGAAATAAGTACTGAAAAGAGTGCTTGGCTTTTTCACTTTGTGCTAGCCACCGAGTACAAACTCAATCTTTAAAATCCCCCATAATATTGCCAAAAAAAAGTCTTTTCCTCTGTATATACATATATAAAAATATATATATAGTGTTTGCATTTGCAGTAATAAAATACTTGAACTCCTGTGGTTTCCCATAAACTTAGACTAAGATTTATAACACTATTAAAATATGTAAAATGTCACCTAGAATATCACCAGACATATTTGTGGGGGTCTTCTGTTTGTTCCAAGATAATCACTTCCTAATTTTTGTTGTGTTCTACTCAGTTTGGGCTGGCTGGCTGTAACGACTAAGCTTTGCAGCTGAACGAGGCCGATGTCCGCGGGAGCCTCTGCAGGCAGCTCGGGACTCGAGTGGCCTGGTTCGGAGGGTGGGGACGAGAGGAGGGAATCCAGGGAATGAAGTCATCCGGGGGAGAGACGCACTTAATTGTATTTGAAGCTGTATGTGTGAACTAAAACTATGCTGAAAATGGTGCCTTTTAATAGATAGAGTTTTTATACTTCCAGCATGCACACTAGCAATATTTGCGGGGTGGTGGTGTAGGGCAGTGAACATGCGGTTTTTAGAAGCGATCCTATGGAAAGGAAATAGCTCAAATTTTACATGTGTTGAATACTGAAGATGACTACTGACTTTCTTTTGTAAAGTGTACGCTTATCCCCGTCCCCCGAGTAGGTCTGGAGAAAGCGGAGGCGATGTCCATCTCTGACACGCGTTTAATCCTTTGCGCTCTGCAGAACCGTCCCCGCTCTCAGCGCGGCGACGCGCGGCGCTCCTGTACCCTCGGGGTCTGACGAAAGGGCTGTTACCGACCCCCTTTGTAAGAAACAAACGAGCAATAAAGATGCCGGTTTTGTACAAGGCGTTCTCGTCTGCCTCTGCTTTCCCGGGCGGGCGGGG